AGAGGGGACAGGTGCGCGACTCTAGGCACGAGGCGATCTTTGACGAGCTGCATGTGGACAGAACCTTACCTTTGATGCGGTACCGGTGACCTACTGGATTGACGAATCAAGCAGGGAGAGTCCGGAAGAGGTACTCGTCAAAGTCCGGCAGGGTAACCATGGCTAGTACGGTGTGACTTGGTAGAGTGGGAAGATTCGGACGGAGTATCCGAGCTGAGTGGTTTGAGCTTCTCTCGTGTGTCAGTTGTCCTGTTGGGATGATTTTTCTTGGATTTCCGGGGACGGAAATCGTTTAAGGAGGGTAGACTGTAATGCCCCATTTATTTGTGGTTTATTTGAAGTATTATTATTATTATTATTATTATTATTATTATTATTATTATTATTATTATTATTATTATTNTCTCTCTCTCTCTCTCTCTCTCTCTCTCTCTCTCTCTCTCTCTCTCTCTCTCTCTCTCTCTCTCTCTCTCTCTCTCTCTCTCTCTCTCTCTCTCTCTCTCTCTCTCTCTCTCTCTCTCTCTCTCTCTCTCTCTCTCTCTCTCTCTCTCTCTCTCTCTCTCTCTCTCTCTCTCTCTCTCTCTCTCTCTCTCTCTCTCTCTCTCTCTCTCTCTCTCTCTCTCTCTCTCTCTCTCTCTCTCTCTCTCTCTCTCTCTCTCTCTCTCTCTCTCTCTCTCTCTCTCTCTCTCTCTCTCTCTCTCTCTCTCTCTCTCTCTCTCTCTCTCTCTCTCTCTCTCTCTCTCTCTCTCTCTCTCTCTCTCTCTCTCTCTCTCTCTCTCTATCTCTCTCGTGATTTTTCTTTCGTTTCTTTCAAAATCGACATCACCCTCATCATCGCTCCTCTTCTCTTGTTCTCTGTTTTTCCGTCAACCTCACGCTCGGTCCAGCATCATCATCCCTGTGTTCATCTCGTCGTCATCATCACAGAAATCTGTTCGTGAGCAGACGCCACCCTCGCTGCCGCCACGCCCAGCAAATCGCGAAGTGACCACCGGCGACCCTGTCCCTTGAATTTTCCGGCGAGTTCGTTTTCCCTGCGAGCTCCTCTGTTGCAGCAACTCAGTCGTGAGCCGCCGCTGCCTCCTCGCGACCAGCCACTCCTCGCCGCTGCACAGCCACCGCAGCCGCGATCCTCTTCCTCGCGCCGCCGCAACCAGACAACTTCCAGCGACCACGCGCAGCGGTTGTCGAGCACCCCTTCGCTGCTGACACGACTTGCTGCTCTTCCACGTGGCAGCGACTCGCTTCCAGCTGCGACTTCCCTCACGCACGACGAGCTCTCCTTCTTCCGGCGAGACGCGAGCCTCCGTCGAGCTCTTTAGCCATCGTTCGCCGTCGAGCCGTTCAAACCCTACTCGCTCGGTATCGAGTCTCGACTCCCTGTTTAAATATTCGTGATACTATAATGTTCGGTTGTGCCTAGTGTGTTCGCTTAATCAATATATGTGTTGTGATGCTATATGATTTTATGTGATGTTATCGTTCATTATATTATCGTAATTTTGATGTGTAACTCGTCGATTCGTGCAAATCGAGCGAGAATTGGTCGTGCGTGATTAGTTGCTGTGGATTTAGGAACTTAGGATTAATTCGAACACAATGGCGTTGGCCTTGTGTCGATTGGAAGTGTATAATTGCCGTTATGATTTTTTCGAAATTGTTATTGGCTGTTTTAATTTAAAAATTTACTATGAATCGAATACTTGTCCGATTGCCTTGAAATTTTAAGAGCAGCTGTTTTTTATGAATATGTAGTTGCTGTGACCTTTTCGTGATTTTTAAAGATGTGTAGCTATTTTTAAAAATTAAATTGTTTTCTGTTCAGTTTCTTGTAAAATGCATAAGTAATTGTGAGTGTTCTTTTCTAGCCAATTTTCGAGTATGTTATGTTTCAGGCATGATTATATGTGGTGTAAAAGTTTTAGAATTTTTGAACTAGGTTTGATAGGATTAACAAATTATTTTGTGATTCTGCCCGAATTTAATTTAATTATAATAAATTGTTCTGAGGTTGAAAAATTCTAAGGATTTGTGGAGAGGCTGATTATATGATGTTTAGCATGCTGTAAAAAGTTTAGAAGTTTTGGAGTTCAGTTGTGATCAGTTCTGATATAATTGTGATATTTGGCTGATTGTGGTTTTAATTTTATAAAATTGTTATCCTGAGTGTTGGAGGCTGGAAAATTTATGTGATGCTGTTCATATGTTGTAGTATTTTAGATAAAATTTTCATAGCCTGAATCGTCCATTATCATGTGATTTTAATTTAAACTCGTTTTTGCTGAAAAAATTGTTTGAATTTTATAAAATTATGCATAAGCTGAAATTGGGTGATCTTACTTAGAACTGGGATGTGAAATTTATGTTAAAGTTTCAGAACCCAACTCATTGATTTGATATGCCTTCTAATTCAAGTGTGAATTTGAGAAATTGTTTTTCTATGTTGAAATGTGTTAAGTGTTGATGACCAAATGTGCCATGTGTTTTGCTTGTGGCTCGTTTGTTGTCTTTCACTTGCTTTTGTGTGAACTCGAATATGTGGTTTGATCCAGTCTAAGTCCTAGTGTTCTCATATCCACAGAACTTCACGAACCACTTGGTCGAACCGAGTTCGGCTAAGTCAACTTATGAATTTGCTACATGGGTCTAGATTAAAGTGTTGACTTTAGTATCTGGACTTAGGTGTTGAACCTCGCCTCGTCTCGAGAATTGTGATTTGAACTGTAGTTGCTATCAGGTGGGTACATTTATGATGTATTCCATATTTATCGCACTTAATATTTCGTATAAATGCTTTGTTTTGAAAAATGATGTATGCGTGAGAACCCTAGTCTAAGTGTCCCGTATGTTAGTGCCTTTGAGGATGCATAAACAGTGAGAGGTCATCGGCCCGTAGATTCGGAGAGGTGACGCCCAGGTCCGTATGATATTCGGGAATGGGAAAAACATCTCTACTGTCTCCTGGAAAGGATCCCAGGCCCGTAGCCATTCGGTGATGGGAAGGTTTCCAGTTACTTCCTTGCCGTGTGTGATCGGAAGGTTGTTGTATGTACATAGGAGGTTTGCGATAGGGCCAAGTAGGGAGTTAGACTGTTGGATTCTATGCATATTGAATACTATGGTTATTATGGTTTAAAATGTTATGCAAGATATACTGTGCTATAATGGTGAGCTTGTTGGTTATGCTCACCGCCATTATTTTCTTTGTTGTCTTTTCTCTTCCTTTGTTCTAGGTTGAGACGAGCTGGAGGCGGTGGCGTAGGACGAGCGAGATGGTGGTCATTATGTGTTGAAACCTATGCTTCCGCTTGAACTTAATACTTATTTATTTTGCTATTATGCTTTGAATTATTTACTGCTTCCACTTTTCGAACTAAGTTTAAGTATGTTGAACCGTGATCATGCTAGACCTTTGGAAATGAATTTGAGACGTATGTTTCTGTGGGATTGTTATTTTGATAACTCGAGCATGTGTAGGTTCTTAGATTGTTGGTTGTGTTTAATTGTTGTGGTTAATAAGTAGCGCCCGATACTCGATAAATGTTTTAACTTGGATTTAAAAAAAAAAAAAAAAATAACTCTGATTTTTTTAAATCAATGCGGTAAATTCTTTAAAATAAAACGGGGCGTTACAGCCTATTTGCCGGTAGGATTCGATGAAGGCCTCATCGACCTTCAAGCTGACCGACAGAAGTATTCGACGACCTATTGCCGGTAGGATTCGATGAAGGCCTCATCGACCTTCGACCTGAAGAAAAATTGCCTACCCTCCAAGCGACCTCGGGCGACGGCTTGATCGACTGCCTTGTTGAACCTCTCCTCGACTTTAGTTTGACGAGCCTTGGCCTGCGCGAGCTCGTCCTCCTTGGCCCTTTTCTCGTTCCGGTGGCTAAGGTCCCACTTGGACAGCTCGAACGTCATCTCAACCTAGAGTCCATTGAGCCGCTTCACCTCAGGAGCTAAGTTCTTGTTTGCAACTTCAAGGGCTTGGATGGATGGGCCATATCCTCCGATATCCTCATCGAGGGGAACAGAAGATTCCGATAGAAGAAATAAGTACCGAGACTTCTACTTGGAAATATTAGAGGGCATATCATTGACGAAGTGAGCTCCATTGCGGGCTTGCAGGTAGAAAGTGCCCCTTTGGCCCTTAGCAATAAAATAGTAGGAAAAAGAAGTCGAGGTCGATATGGCCTAATCTATGATAAGATAAGATGACATAGATGACCAGCTGACGAATAGAGTTGGGTGACAGTTGATTTATAGGGACCCCAAGTACATTACAGAGGTAAAAAAATGGCAGAACTAATTGGAAACCTAAGTCCTAAATCTATTTGGTCTTGAAAAAGGTAAAACATCTGGTTGGGGGGTGGTTTAAGGCATCCATGGGCCGAGGCGATACATAACGCCAATCAGCATGTAGACAGGACTGAGAAAAGAAGTTATCGAGCCACTCCTCCTTAGCAGTAAGGAAGGTATTCAGTTGTTGAGTCACGATGACCATGTCTTCGGCGGTGATATCAGTGGCCCCAATGATAGGTACACCCATGGGGATTTTGCGGGTCGATCGAGCAGGATGGTAAGGAGAGGTAGTCTCTTCCTCGTCCTTGGTGTCAGTTTTGTCGTGGAGCTGAAGATGACAATGAAGAGGACGAGAGATGACTGGAGGAGGATCTGTTTGACAGGAAGACGGATCGGGATGAGCCTCCGTGGAATGAGTGGTCGAAGAAGTGGATTGAGAATTAGGAGTCACAGATGATGATGTGGAACTCATATATTGACCAGAAACTCGGTCGGCCTCACTGGAAGTAGCGAAATCTGAAGAAGGGACGAAAAAGAAAAGGAATAAGGGGAAGAAGGTTAAAAGGATGGAAGAAAATGACGGACGGCGGAGGAGAAGAAAGAGGTTGTGGACGAAAGGAAATAATTGGAAAACATCAAAGAAAACTAAAGAAAGTTAGGCATACAAACATTAATAAAAACAAGAATACTTACAAATCATGGTGATCGGATTGATGAGAAAGGTGCAGATTCTGGTCGTCGGTGGTGGTGTAACTGCAGAAGCTTCATGCACAAGAGGGACTTGCGAAAAGCACAGTAGAAAAGTAAGAGTATATATTTGAGAAATTTTGCAGAAGTGAAAAACCTAAAAAAATGGGCTAAGGCACCCTTTTAAAAATGGGCTAAGGCACCCAGCGATAAAAAGTGTTTGACATCTCCGTCGACCTCGCCCATGGTAAGCTTACTTCTGCTTCTCAATTTATTTTTATTTTGTCTTGATTTTTGTTCTTCTAGTGAAATCTGGGACTGGCTTTTGTAGAGTGTGGCGAATTGTTGCTTTTTTATGTAATTCTTGCAATAATCTTACTTACTTTAATTGTTTGAAGTGATTATTGAATTTTAATTTTGTTAGTATGTTTCGCTAATTGATGGTGAATTTTCCTAGACATCACATTGTATATCTATGTAAGAATTTTTTAGCTCAATTGTTACCACAGTGGATAGCATGGAACTGTGAGTTCTGGGTTGATTGATTGCATAACAAAGTATAATATTTCTTAAAATCAAGAAATTAGGCAATTAGATTCACTCTAGGTACTCACTCATGGTACTGCTGAATTTCTGGGTAGAATTCTGGAGTTCCGCAATCATAATTCACACCATTAGGGTATATACAATATTTGTAGAAGATTCTGAACATATTTCTTGTGAAATTAGGTAATTCAATTGCCTATGGTCCTTCAATGCTAAATAAAACATCTTTATTTGTTGTTGCTTTGAAATTCATATGCCATTAGTTATTCTTGAATCTTGAACTGCATCTCTTTAGTTTAAAGTTGAAACTTGAGATGATGTGCTGCTGATTATTGGGCTGCAGGAATCAAGATTTTAAAAAATCCATCAAGGAAATCAAAGTGAAGGTCGAAGAATTGAAAGGAGTGAAAGAAGATCTAAAGTTAGGTAGTGTGAATCTGAATTTACATTCTTCAAGTTTTGTGCTTTAGTAATTATCTAATTATATAAGCTTAAGACATACTATTGTATCTTAAGGCTGGAAGACACTTCATTTGGGAGCTTTGAGATCGCGAAATGGCGAAATGCAGAACAAAGTAGACTATTGAGCAGTTGTATAAGCAAGTAGATGGTGTCTAGAAATAACTTAGTGCAAGAANCAAAAAAAAAGAAGAAGAAGAAGAAAGCCCAATTAAGCATGTATTTGACCAGAATATTTGCGATTTAATTAGTAAATTTTTGTATAATTGAAATATTTAGTGGGAAAAAGTATTATCTTGGACATATTTTACATTTTTATCTTTTTTTATTTATTTATTATCCTTTGAAATAATTATAGATAGTGTTATATTGTTTGTCGATAGTCTTTCTCACTATTCATTTTGCTCTAATTCTCACTGAATAATGATTATTTATTGATTCAAATATTATTTGTGATGATCACTCTTTTAATATCAGTTGAAAGCTAATTAATCTTGTTTGTTGTAATTGTTTTTCTCTTCTTCTATTTTTGAATTGGACCAATTATCACATCGGGGTATCTTTCTTTCAATTATTTTTATTGGCGAAATATAAACCCCATCTTGTTATAAAACTAGAGAGAAAGAGAGAAAATAGAGAAAATATATTCTCTTATGTGTGTTTTTCATTATAACTGAAGCTCCTATTTATAGGAAACTCCTGATGGCACAACTTGTAGTAATACAAATACATCGAGGGCAAAATAGTCATTCACATACATTATTTTATTATTTCATAACACTCCCCCTTGAATGACTATTTTCTAAACATATTTTAACTAATTTGAACAAAGCCCAATCTGTACATCTTCAAGTGTATCTTGTGGCCATCAGGTACTGTTGCTTCAACATGTCAGGAAAACCCGGTGGGACAAAACCTGATCATCGTGAAAGCACAACTTTGTTTCTTCAGGAAAACCCAGTGGGACAAAACCTGAGCATTGTGGAAGCACAACATAGCTCCCCCTCAAATAGATCATCTTTAGTGGAATATCCATGTGCTGCCTCGTTAAAACCTTGTCAAGAAAACCCAGTGGGAAAAAACTTGATCGAAGGAAAAAGAGTACAGCTACTCCAGTATCTCTTATCATCGTGAAGAATCATATCATTTATCCAGTAGTCCTCATCATACCATGAATATGCCTCGTTAAAACCTTATTAGGAAAAACCCAGTGGGACAAAATCCTAATGAAGGAAAAAGAGTACACTATTCATGTGAATACGCCATCCTTGTTGCCTCATTAAAAACCTTGCTAGGAAAACCCAATGGGACAAA